GACCACATCCCGACCACCACTGTAGTCGGTTGGGGGCGTAGATGGGAACAGCGGGTATATGGCCCGGCGGCGCGCCGGAGAACGGAGTGACCTGGGCCAACCGGCTCGCTTGGAAAAAAAAAAGAAAAGTTAAATATCTGACGTCAGACTTTTATGCATGGCAAATCTGGCTTTTTTAGGGCAACTTATATCGGTTTAGTTTGCAATCATGGCAATTTTTTTTGGTAAAAATATGAACTAAGACAAATTTGTCATACTCACCAACTAAACTTATCATCGTCAAAGAACATAATTTGCCATTAAAAAACTTTCGATTTGCTATGGAAAAAATCTACGACAGATTTTTATTGGAGTCCAAAAAAAAACATACTATTACACGGTTGCATGTACTTCCTCTATAAAAGAATATAAGACTTTTTAGATCATTAAAATAGGAGTGATCTAAAAAATCTTACTTCTTTACAAAAAGAATATATTTTTTGGGTTTCACTCAAATCGCTTTCTACCGTTAGATCTTGATCCAAAGGCCAACTAGTTTTCTTTCTCCGCTTCTTTTTCTTCTCGCAGCTGCTTTCTCTCCATCTACCTCACCTCTGTTGAGGTCCTATTCAAGCCTCGCTGCCGATCTCATTAGTTGTTGCCGCTCGTTGCCATGTCTCCGTCTCCGACTCGGCTCCTTTACCCAACTGGAGGCCTTCCACCTGCATACGCAAGCCTTTGACTCACCTCTGCCTGCAATGTCGCAGCCAGCCATGTAGTCGCCATCTTAGTTGTTCCTCTCATCGCTAAAATTCAACAAGGGAGTACTTTGGTACACATCCTGCTGCTAGTTGTTCTTTGTCTCCATAATGAAATCCATTATTATTATTATACATAGAAATCGTTGACCAAACAGAAACAAGAAGTTCTCGAGGTAGTTGTCAAAAATAAAAGTTCTCCTGGTCAAATATGTGGACCCATATTAGGACCCCTCTCCCCACCCTGGTCGCCTCCAATTATTCGCAACCGCGAAACGCAAAGGCCGCGCGCTGATGGGCTGCATTATACTGTAGCATGCTAGTGTTGAGAGAATTTTTCGGTGCTTTACTGTTTGTACTTTTTTTCAACTGGTTTTTTCATTCCGTTTTTCTAACAAATATGAAAGACTTATTTTTAGAACATTTGAAAACACCCAATTTGTTTTTCAAATTTACGATGTTTTAAACGCGAACATTTTCTTGAATTTGCTAAAAAAATGTAAAAATATATATTTTTGATAATTTGAAATATTATTTTAGAAACCCAAGAATTTCTGAATTTTCTGAAAACTTTTTCGAAAATGCAGATATTTTTTCAAAATTTTGAACATGTCTTTAAAATGCATACCTTTTTTTCAAATTTGCAAACATTGTTTTCTAAACAAAAACATTTACAATTTTTCTACTGTTATTTATAACAAAAATCATAAAACAGAAAAGATAAAGGTAAAATGAACAAAAAGAAAGAAAAACCAGGAACAAAGCAACATAGAGTAGAAAAACGGGTAAAAGATATCCTGACACGAATTCCCAGAACCAATCGTTGTGTATCACCTCGCTAGCTAATGGGCCGGGACAACTCACGTTTGCTATTTGACCCGGGGCCTGAGGTGCTTTTCTTGCTGGCTCAGTAATGTTATTTATATGTTTCCTTTCCTTTTCCTTCTTTGTATATTCATTTTCCTATATCTTGTTTAATCTTTCTTTTTTCATTTTTCTTTGTTCTATGTTTTTCCTTCTTTTTGTAGAAAATACGTGAATATTTTTTTCAGAATGACATGAACATACATTCTAACATTTATGAACAACTATTTCTCAAATATATAACTTTTTGCTAGTACATAAACTGTTTTATTTTTACATGCATAACTTTGCTTAGTATGAACTGAACATCATTTTACACGTACACTTTTTCTGTATTCTTAAGTTGATTTTTGATTTTCACAAACAATGTGGAATAAAAATTTGGGCTTTTAATTAAAGTATGGAACAATATGAACTAATGGGCCATGCTATTAGTCAGTGAATTGCGAATTCTTTGTGTGCATTTCCTATTTGAGGCGTGTTGCATCAAATAGTCCGTGTGACGCACATGCGCAAGCAACCGACCAAGGATACGTTAGCAAAATATTCCGGTTAGGAAACTTATGGAAGATTCTATCCAGTTTTTACCAGGTTTCCTTTTTCTGCTGTTTCTGTACTGGTTTTCCGGTTTTCTTTTTTTTTCTTTTTTTCATAATTCAAAAAAAAATCATAAAACTGTTCAAAATCTTCAAAATTTGTTCAGGCATTTGCTTCCCATCTCAATCATTCGAGTAATTCACGTACGGAAAAATAAAGAGGAAACTACCTTAAAATTGTTCAGGCATTGTAAGCTTTACTGTGCGGTTACGTCTCAACTCTCTCACACATTCTTTAGCTCACATGTTTTGGTTGGCCAAAGTCTAGTGTTACAGCTCAGTCTCTTGCAAAAACAGTAGCCTCTGAACAGTTGGACTAGCATGCATGCATACTTCAAGAAAGGCGTATCCCCTACGCTAAACTCATACGCTGTGCTTAACACAGTCCTACCTTTATACAAACAGAATCTACATTGCAGAATAGAGAATACTAACTTGATACAAACAGAATCTACATGCACCATCCACCAGCAGCGCAACGTACCGTATGCACAGGATCGCCAAGCGCACCGACTTCCGTAGCCCTGCAGATGGAATGATCAGGGTGAGTTCAGACAAGTGTTTTCCTTCCATGACGACATGATCTGTCTAAGTACTACTCCCTCCGTCCCAAAATAAGTGTCTCAAGCTTAGTACAACTTTGTACTAGAGCTAGTACAAAGTTGAGACACTTATTTTGGGACGGAGGGAGTACTTACTAGGTCCCATGGCAGGATGTGGGTGACACAGGGTGTCGTTCCATCGCTGCAATGTAAAGATCTCAAAGACAGGACAGTGAGTGTGGCTGAATTAGGACCGAAAATCTCTGTCAGAAACACAGGACACCAGAAATTATGCTGACAGGTAAAAAGACAGAGATCAGTGGATTCTTATCTTATCCCATCAATTCGAGAGAATCCTCAATTACTCTAAGGGGCACCTTCGCAGATGAGGCGATGCAAGTGACTGCCATGACAATAATTCCAATTGTCAGCCAGGATACAGTTAACACCAAATTCAGTCAAAAACTCTTTTCTTTTCCCCCGGCAATGACAAAATGTTGCAGTTTGGTAGGCAGAGACGTACTGCAGATATGGTCGGCGGCGCCATGAGCTCCTCGACGAGCTGGCACACGGCCCCCTTCCGGTCCATCCAGAAGCCTTGTCGTTGTCGGCGACCCTGCTATAGCACGGCGGCAAGAGAGGAGCCTCCTGCAGCTCTGTCCGAGTCATTTTCTTTGAACTCTGAACATGTCAGCAACACTTAAAATGTGTTCATCAGGTCTAGCTGACGTCCGACCTTGAATCCCCCGAGATGCTCCTTGTCACCGTCTGCTGGGCACTCGACTGCATCTTGTGGTACAGTTTGCTTGACTTGTGCATCAGGGCGTAAATGCACCGTATCAACTGTGAACAGGCCACCAAGCTACAAGCAGACAGGTGCAGAGCAAAATTAGCAACCTGGTCTCTCGGCTTCAGAGAACGGGCGACAGAGACAAGCATGATCCACCCAGTGAGCCTGATGCTCCAGGATGCATGCGTGGGCTTTTGGTTATATGCCATTCACCAAACCGAACAAACAATGACAGTACTTACTTTGGAACTCCGTCTTCCATGCTAGTTTTGCATCTCAATGTTTCCCCTTGAATCGACGGAGAAGACTAAAATGGCACAAGCTGAAGAAACACCAACACATTTCCAAGAGCTGCTGGGTGCTGCTGGCCACAAAAGTAGTCATTCATCACTTTTTCTCGCAATTTTCTCCCTCCCTAGCATGTCCAGAATTCTTCAGACGGATAGCACAATCAAAATATGGCAGTACCAGCATGGATATGATAGATCAACAATTATATATCAACTTAGCAACAGACAGAAACTGATATAAACTGTACAAGACTTTCCAAAACGTCCTCATATATACGGTGTAGATCATAAAAGCCAAGCCATGATAATTAAATTACAACACTCATTCTTGCCTTCTGCAGGGCACATTTATTCAGACTTACTTCCGGAAGATACTACGTAGTTAAATGTCTCTATGCTGTTCAGTTCAACAGAGAAATCTGTACATAATGATAATGCATGTAGACCTCAAACAGCAGGAAATGAGCAACCAGAAAGACCAGCTAGCATGCCCCCAACGTCTGAAACAGCAGGCTTTCTAGACCATCATGAAAGGAAAATGGTCTCAACTCTGAAGCAGCAAGCACATTGTATCAAGTATTCAAGTATGAAACTCAAGTACTGCAGTACATCAAATATCTCATTATGGGTGTGAATGATAAAAGAGACCTCCAGTTATCACATGGTACATAAGATCACACAAGACATAAAGATTACAGTCGTATGAATCAAAGCAAAACAGGACAAAACTAACTGATGGAATAACGTGCAAATTAGACTACGGTTCCAGGAATTGTTCAGTCAATGGATGATAATAGCATGAATAAGAAGGTCACCAGCAGCACAATTACAATAGCCATCGTCAGTGACAGTGGCACCAGAGGGCAGGAGGTGGTCGAGTGAGAGGGCAAAGCGTGAAGCAATCAGCAAAGCAGGAAACAGACTGAGGAGATCAACACCGGCCTATGAAGTCGAAGACAATTTGGGCTGCAGGATTAGCCAGGCTGAAGCACTCCACCTCGTAACAGGTTGCTGGAGGGCCTGCTATTAAGAAAAGTTTGTAATCAATGGAATTTTTCAAAGATTGAAAAGTTTAATGAAGTGCATATATATTACGAAAGACTACATATCTTTGACAGTGCAAAGATGGCCGACGGGAGCTAAGTTACCTTTCCGTTTATTTGTAGGTGGGGGAATCTAGATCACACTATAAATTCCTTCCAGCGGATATGCGCGATCTTTGGCCAACTTTCTCCATCAGGTGCCCCGCAGCTCTCCTTCAAGAGCTCACAACCCCATACACATATGTACTGGAGGGAGGATGGCAGATCTGGTAAAGATGATATGTTGGGGCAGCTATAGATGTCGAGACTCTTCAGATTGGAGAAGCAATTCAGATTTGTTGGCAGGGAAGTCATTTGACAACCACCAAATCTTAGGGTCTCGACTGATGCGAAATTTGTGCATTCTTCCAATGAAACAAGTGGGTCCTTGCATCCTTCAAGAGAGAGAAATGCTGGAAGTGAGAAACCTTCAGCCGAGAGCATGTTGTTGAGTATTACAGGACTACTAACATAGAGTGAGTCCTGGACTTGAAACTGGGAGATACACTCAGGGGTGAGTTTCAGAACATCAATCAAATGTACATGGTCAAGTTGCAGGGAAGACAATCCTTCAAGCGTACATAAATCTGGCAAGTGATACAGTATGAATGATTTAACAGAGGTGAGACTACCAACAGACAAGCATGCCGTGCTTCTGTAACTGCCTATGAGAATATAATTCATCTTTGGCCAGTCGGTGAAGAGGAACTCAGCTCCAAGCACACAGTCGAATATACTGAGGCGCTCAAGGGATAATGGCAAACATTCTGCTCCACGTGCCAATTCTAAAGAAGGGCAGGAACTCATTCTAAAATCTGAAAGAGAGGTAGCAGCTCGTAAACCCCCTAATGACCTGAGACACCAGCAATATTTGATGAATAAGAAGTCAAGTTTTGTCAAATGTTGGAGAACCTCTTCTGAAGGAAGTGTGGTTAAAGTCATAATCTCTTCTAAAAACAATGTTTTCAGTGAAGCTAGGCCATCAAGGAAAACAGCTAAAGCTCCATCTGTAATACTGCATAAATAAAGAGAAAGTTTATGAAGTCCTGATGGTGCGACCAGCGGCTGCTCAATGCTCCTATACACGAGTTGGATCCTCTGCTCGTGACAGTGTATCCATGCCTTGATGATATCCCCTTTTACCAGTACTTCACCTTCCTCTCTTTCTAGAGCACTCTCAAGGTTTTGAACATGTGACACCTCAGCATGCATCAATATCATTAGCTGTTTTAGAAATAAAAGTTCCAATGAGAGTACACTCCTAATATGTGACCCTGAATCCACATCCCAGATTAAACCAAGTTGTGATGCCAAATGGTCTGTCCTCATGACATTCTCTCTCTGATCATGATGCTCCAAGTCATCAGTGGAAATAAATATAAGTAGTGGGCAGTTGTCTATCCTTAACAACTGAAGGCCTAGTGGAAGAAAAGGTAATCTATTCAAGTTTGGCACATTACGGAGGACAAGTGAAGTGCAATTCCCAAATAACTCTGTATTGGATGGTAGGCTTTGCAATGTGCTGCAATTTTCAAAGAATAATGATACCAAATTCTCAAAATATGAACCATCAAGTAACCAGCCTGGAAATTTTGAAGATTGGTAACCGTCAATTGTAAGATTCCCAAGTTGAGGCGGTGGCATCAAGCCTTCTAGGATCTCCAAATGTACATTATTCTCTGCATTTGTGTTAGTCTTGCAACTCCAGACAAGGTGCAAGCTGCTAAGATGACTTTTCTGATGCAGCTTCGATTCTAAGGCTTGATCCTTCCCACTGACATTCTCAAGATTTGTGATACTTAAACTGCCATGGATCTCGTTCATATCCGTCAGCTCTTGCAAATCACATCCCTTTTTCTTTTGCACAGAAAATTTCTCAAACTGTTGAAGCGAAGTTAACTTGCCAACGTTATGAATTTGAGGCAGTGCTTTTTTGAATGAATCGTATATTCTATAATCATGCCCTTCAATATGCCGTAACTTCCTTAAATTGCAGAGTTTATCAGGCAAACTCACAACTTTATCATTTATTAGAAGTAACTGCAAGTGGTAAAGAGTACACAATGATCTTGGCAATTCAGAAATTAGTGTTCTGATGATGTTCAAATACCGAAGGTGCTTCAACTCACCAACAGATTCTGGCAACTTGCTACTGATGTAAGATGACAAAAATAATATGCGCAACTTCTTCAAATTCTGTAGTATCTGATTAAAAAGGTCACTTACATCATCCATTAGGGGGTCTATGCAGATAATGGTGCGTAAATGATGTAGCTTGCTGATACTTTGCTTGTGTTGCATTATACTATCAACACGGACAGATAGATGTCGAACAGTGCATGGTATTGCTGTCACCTTATCATCTTCCAATCTGAAGTAGTCCTCTTTGGAGAGTGATTCTGCCAGATCATGAAGGAGATCATGTATAACATAGTATGTGTGAGAGTATTTCTCATCAACTGGTTGAAAGAATGAAACAGAGATCATCTCCTGGAAACAATCCTTCCCAATATCTTCCACTCTCTTGGTTTGGTTGCACGAATCAAGGAGGCCCTCTGCCATCCAAAGATGAACCAACTCATCAATGACATACTTGTGTCCTTTTGGAAACAAGCTGCAATATAGGAAGCAACCTTGTAGATATGGATCTAACTTCTCATAACTCCACAACAGTGCTGTCATAGGCACACTTAATTTGTCAATCATTAAAGTTAGAGCATCCTTCCATTCAGATATGTTTGTTTTCCCTTTCAACTGGGAACCCACAACTTTGGCTGCCAAAGGAGATTGTCCAAGCCTTTTAGCAATCTTACCTGCAAAACCTTCCAGCCTTCCACGCAACTGTGGATTTCCAATTTCTGGTCCAGAGAAAGCATGGTGTTTGAAGAGTGCCAAGAAATAAACATCTTCCATGTTCTCCAGAGGACACACTTCTGCACAGTAAAGAGCAGATGGAAATGTATCCCGTCGAGAAGTTACCAGAACTTTGCTTCCCATATGTTGGGAGACTAGAGGAGCTAACAGCTGCTCCCATTCCCTCTCACTGCCAGGTTCAAACCAAACATCATCCAACACAAGCAGTAATTTCCCTGATTCTTGCAGTATGTCTGACAACTTACGCTGCAGAGTATCAAGGTTATCAATGCGTGGGCATTCCGCTTGTGAGGCAGACTCGATTATCTCCCGTGTATGATGGCGGACTTCAAGTTTTCGTGAGATGCTTACCCACATTCTCACATCAAAACAATTTTTTACCTTATCGTCATTGTAAACAAGTTGTGCCAAGGTGGGCTATCCCATGCCTCCGGCGCCAACAATGGCCAAACTCGAGTACATAATTGTACCAGACTCTGTAGCAGCAGTTGTCTTGGTAAGACGATCTATTATATGATTGCTATCCTTGTCACGGCCAATCACTTTTGGAGGTGGCATTGATGTGTTCTCAGGAACATCAGTTGATGGTATTGTGGGTCTCACTGCATTATAACCAACAGGTAAGCAGAGTAGTTGATGGAAGTCCCTGGCTTTCGCTAGGAGAGCCTTCAGTTCCTTAAGATGGCGAATTAGCTTTCTGTTCTCTGAGCTCAGATTGGACAGCCTACTCAATGCAACACGCAGAGGCTTCATAAAAGTGTTTCTCATGGAGGAGGCATTGGCCGGCAAGGAATCCATTCCCTTTGCTTGGCGATCGAAGAGGTTGTACTCATGCTCTTCCAGCAAGTCTTCGGCCATGTTGAAGGCTTCTTTGAGTTCCTGCAGCCATTTGTCCAACTTGGGCCTGTGGTTCCCCTTGTCAGCTGCTTCAATCACCAGCTTGAACTGCGGCATGATAGTTGTCTCCGGTTCATGGAGCTCACGCGCCATATCCACTCCAAGGTAAGTTGAAGCATTAGCATGAAGCTTCTTCAAGACTGGTAACACAGCCAATCTTAAGCCAGCTATAGCTATCGCCACTTCCGCCATTGGATTGCAGATTTTTTTGCGGGGGTTTGTGTTTATGGAGGGGGTTTCGGTTTGTTTTATGGATGCATAGATTTTGGGTGCAGAAAGACAAACTCTAAGAAACAGGCTGAAAGAAGACTTGGAGGTGTGTTTCTAGAGGAAAATAAGAGAATGGATTCGGTCCATAAAGACAGTAGATGATTGAACACCAAGTATGGACAATAGCAAGTACATTATCAGAAACTAGGAGCAAAAACTGACAATTTTCCCCTCTCTCTTTTTTTTTCGTGTGGAATGGCCTCAATAAATTGAACGACGAGCCCGAGGTGATGGATGAGAAATCTGTTGGTGTGGGAAATAACGAGATGAATTAGTTAACTGCATGCATCGTAGATAAGAGCAAGGAACCTTGAAAGAACTAATGATACTGTTTTGAGAGTGGAAAATGACCTGAGTAAATGATATACGGGCCATTGAAAGCGCTTTTGGATAAACTGAAAGTGTTTTTGGGTGAATTGAAAGCGCTTCTGGATCAAAGGTTAAAACAGCCAGTGAATATAACAACGGATGAACACCTGTTGCAGTGGGAAATCACGAGATCGATTAGCCGGTTGCAACAACGAAGATAATAAACAGAACCCTATAGCCAGATTCATAAAGGAACACAGACGAGAATAATGGTGAGCTTACACAGATGCAGAATTCAGAACCAGCATTTTACGAGCCAGCGGAGCGATGAGGCAAGGTTGCAAAAAGGCAGATAGTAGGAGCTAACAATGTTGTGTTGCCAGAGAATGAGAGGCAGAAATGCCCAAACAGCAGGTCAACAAGGCAATAGCAGATCTGATCCAGCTACCTGCCCTTTCTTTTAAGTTTAGCTGAGATGGACATGCTAATAAACTAACTAGTAACCAATGTTGACACAGCTCACTTATGATAATTGAAGTATAAAGTAGCAGAGGACAACATTGTATACAAATAACCACTTGCAACCTAGTAGATGTTATGCCCGCAGGGAAACCATGGTTCCAGAAGGCTTGAAGCTCTGAATAAGCCATTCAAATGGACGTGCACTTTCGTGTCCTTTCCAGCTTTGCCCACTTAATTACTATCTGCCCTGTACACCTACAAGCAGAAAACAGAACATCATGCCTGCAAGTCAAACCCACCATGGGAAGTCAAGATATCAGAATTCCTTGAAAAGGATCCTCTTCAGGGCATAAACAAAAAGAATAAAACTCAGCGAGAATATGCCAGGAAGCAAATTCAGATATCAATCATCCATACAAATAAATCGTTGGTGGCAAGGTATGAGATCGAGTTCATTCAGCACTGTTGTACAAAAGCCCTGCATAAGCATACAAGAACCCACCCAAAAATGCAATCCCCATAAATGGATACTGGACAGGGTTAATACAATCTCAGCATGGTGAAACCTGAAACCTTCTCGTTATAATCCGAACCATGCAGTACAACACAAACTTAAACAAACACTGCTCCTGCTTCTAGATTAGGAATTTTCAGTTACTGCTCCTAGTCCTCTGCTGACCCAAAGAAACAAGAGCTGGGGCGGCTAACTAAGGATGTCATTAGCCACTAACCAATTTGGCTTAAAAAATCTGTGGTCAAGAGTATCCTTAATGCACATGAATTGTTTAAGAGCCAACAAATATTTTTTGGTGCTTATCAATGAAATTCATCTCATGTGTATTACACCTCTCTTTTTTTTGCGAAATATGTGCATTATCATCTCACGAAGATAGCATCCATTCCATTCCCAGAAAGGAAGGGGCTTTGGAGCACAGGTTCGGAGGGGGGACAAGAGCGAAACGGAATAACTTAGTTCGGTGGGCTACTGGATGAATGCGCCGGAGAACCTGCGTCGCCAGCGACAGCGCGGGGCGCCATCGAATCGATCAAACCACCCAACCCGAGAATGTGAAGGGATCTAACCGGAACAGAAGCGAGGGTAATATGGGTTGGAGATGGATATTATCACCTGGGATTGGAAATCGGATTGGGAGGTACGCCCGCCATTGCCGCCGGTCGCCGGAGCCGACGAAGCCGAGAGGGGAGAGGGGAGGAGACGGGATTTGGTCAGAGGTGGGCATGCATGTGGACCGGACCAGTGGGAGGTATTGAGCAGAACTGATCCACGGCCGTCCGTTCGGGTATGGACAGCAGCGGTGGGGACCACGTGTGGTGTGGTGTTTGACAAGTTCTTCCCTGATGCTGCGTTGAAAAAATATTTTTTTTAGGATCAAACAATTCCTTTTCTTTTTGATGAACTGTTCGTTGCAAAATTGTTGGTGCTCTAATGATGAGGTGGACCAGGTGGATGTGGGCCTTGGGTGCCCGGTGGGCTCCTTGCCCTTGCCATGTCGGTGCCTAGATTTACCCTAACGGGAAGCCCACAGCTGCACAATTCCAGGATGTTGCCGGCGGAATCGCAAGAAAGCTTACCGCGTACTTTCAGGCGATTTTCAATGGGCGTCGTCGAAAGTTTTCAATCCCGTGCCTCAGGAAGGATGATAACCTCCTTGAGCACTCGGATGAGATTTGGGCCCACATATTAAGGAGTTCTTCATGGTGGTACCCGTGGTGGGGTGTCTTTGGCATAGGACTTCTGGCTGATCAAGGACAGAGTCTCTGACATTGAGAATGCGGAATTAAGTCGCATTCTCGCAAGAAGAGGTGGGTAGGGCTATTGCCTCTATGTATCTGTCGAATGTGTATGAACTAGCTATGTCTGGTTGTCCTATCCGTATGTGTATGATGAACTACTATGAGTTTATGTTTGCTTACCAACGTTGCATAGCTTTGTGTGGATTTTAGGGATTCAGATATGGGGCATGGCTATCCGGGCGGTCAAAAATGGGCCAAGCCCCAGTTTTACGCCAACATATGAGGGTTTAAATTAGGCAAGTCCGTTTGGAGATGATCTTAGTTAATGGCATTATTTAATTTCCTATGTACAAGATTAAGATGCTTAATTAACTAGTTATCTTGTAAGACACCAATGTCTGCACTCAGTAGTGGACCTAGCCCACTGGGCCAGGGTGGCCCAATAGTCCAACTGTACATATACATTTACTTCTTCTTTTATTTTTCTTAGGCTTTCTCCTATGGAATAAACGCTATTTTCAAATCTCGGGGTGGGCCATGGCCAACCCTGTCCACCCTCTACCTCCACCCCTATCTGCACTTTAAACTAGCCATCAAGCAGTAATAGTATATTTTCCAGTGGTGTACCACAAAAAAATGAACATCACCTAATGGAACAAAGTGGCATCTAATCCCTTATCATGTAAACATATACCATAAATAAATCTTATTAAGAAAGCAAGCAGAACTCAACGTGTCGAGGTTACACAAGTTAATTAGAGAATCAACATCATCTTGTCACCCGAACTCAAAACATACTTTACATCCTAGACATTCACGTGCCCTACCTCTACTGCATTCTGGTTTCACCTTTGGACTTGTCCATTGTGCATATGGTTTTTGATAATAAGAAAAAGGAAAGAAACTTTTGTGACACCTTCTATGCTCTTGAAACTATGAGGTTGTATGTAATATACATTTCATTTTTAGCCGTCTATGATAAGACTATTCCGACCATTTTTCAGCGAGTTGCTTAGTTCCATGGTACCACTAATCCAACCCACAAGAACAACAAGTGCAATTTGACCTCAAACACTCTTGAATTCTCTGTTTAGTTACACCTAAGCTTGATAGTCTTGCACTCTTGAAGCCTCTGTCTACTTATTTGTTACACTCTTATAATCTAAAATTGATATTTAAAAGGATAGTACAAACACATAACACATACATATAAACGCACCACAATACATTAAGGGCATTAACTAATTTCAGTATTAATGTGCTACTTTAGGTTTGCCTAAATCTATGGTAAAATAATATCATTTCATATTAATAGATGAATTTGGCAATAATGAATATTAGAATTATATGCTAAAACATGTATATTAATATATAGTGGCATCACATTATTGCTAATATCCGCTTGTTGCATATAAAACATACTATAAGATATATCAATTTATACAAACATCATATATTTAGCTACAACATATAAATAATCTTAAAGCAAAAAAGTTTATTATAAATACATGAGAGTGGATAATTTTATATTGCCATCTTAGTCCTAGACAAGTCATCTGCTAACAATATAGTTCTTAGATTATTCCGTTGACAAAAATAATTTTTAGATTATAAAATAAGAACCAAGTTGTCCTAAAAACATGCACTCATTTAATAAATTTCAT